AACAGATTTTCGAAGCAACAATGGAGACTCACCTGTACTTCGTCATCTTTGCGGATTGGCATCGATCGTACATTGTACTTTTGTCGTAATTCCTTGGATAGTGGCGCGGACATGAGTCGTCGTCTAATGTGAGAAGGTGCTGTGAAGTGCCTCTTTCTATTCTTCCTGCGCGAGGAAGATACCAGACGATTGTACTTCATCCTCGTAAACTCTGTAACGAAAAATACAAAATAGTTATTATAATATCGACTTTAAATTTGTTCGCAAAACTAATGCGTGCGATATTGATTTTAATAACGGTTTATATATACACAAAAGTCAAATGGAAGTCGCTTTGCAACGTGATGTCAGGTTATATCCGATAATACTGCCAAAATCGATCGACTTTCCATATGCGCGGAAAATAAGGTCAGGATGCATAAATAACGACTTGATGGATTTTCATTTACGTAAAATATCGATTCGTTTCTTTTCATTTTAGCTAGATTCCGCACGATTGATATCCGTCACACTCACCGACAACAGTTCAATGCAGTCTCATCAACCGGAAGAATAATATGGAATAATATTAGGCGAAACGTGAGATGCGCAACAGCGCAATGCGTCGCACAACAGCCAATCATCTCCCGCCATATGTATATCACTTCCGGAAATGAACATTGACTGCGTTCAGCAGAACGTTTATTTTGCAACTGTTGGAAATTTTCTTCCAACGCTAATTGATTATGCTTTTAGAGCAAGAGGAATGGTCCTATCTCAGCAGAGAATCATAAAAGATTGCAAAACTTTTTTTCTCTGGTCAATTTAAGTTCTCCATTCTTCATTCTTTTTAAAATGAGGACTACCCCCACTGCTCAAATTTTTGACAATGCTTGGTCTAGAGATACTATTGGTCTGTTTTCTGTTCCATTAGACTGCACTAGCACTCTTTTTCTCAGTGGCCTAGTTTCCACCGAGGCTTTAAACCGGATCAGAATGTAAGAATCAACCAACTCGAGCATTCCTCTGTCGTTCGATTGTAACCAATGACGCATTCTCTATTCCGCAGTCCTTTTCCGCACCATGTGATTTCACTTTAAGGACCGTGGTATACAAAAAAAGCAATAAAACATAAGCAATAAAGGAATTATCACAGCAGAGTCCGATCATACATAAGCAATCCAACATGTTGATCTCCTTATTACTTATGAAGTAAGACATAAGTAATAAGTTTTTTGTGTGCCACGGCCTTAATAGATTTCAACCTATCAGAAAGCATGTACTTTGATAAATGATACATATAGGTTGAGATATAAAAGCGCATACTTTCGAAATTTATGTATTTTCAACAAATACTTACAAGTAAATTAACATGATGAATAATTTACATTCATATTCATGATATATAAGGGAGCAATGGTTTTTTAATATAGATAAAATCGTTTAATGATCGACGGCGATGTAGAAATATACGATACAAATATTCTACAAAATTAATCTTGTGATATAAAAGATATGCACGGTAGTTTTAGTGAAGGAAAGAAATCTGCTTTTCAATGAATCATTGTAACATAATATTTATACTAGATTACAGGTCCTTAATATTTAAACATTTTATCAGAATTCTATGTACACAAAACTCTGAATAGTTTTATATAATATATAATATATATATATAAAATTATTCGAAATTATATATATATATA